TGCTGAAATTTACTGTGAATATTGTAAATGATACAATATTGATATTTATGGGCATCATCAATTCACAAAACATATGAATATCCCCCTCGCAGTTTGAGAAATTCATTTAAATTCATGTATTTTATGAGTGCAGACATTGGAATAGATTGACTAATCCTCTTTCAAATTTGTGTTAATCAGAGTTGATTGTATAACTTATAACAAAATTAGACTTCTGTTAAATAATTAGGTTACTTTGATTTTAAACAAGGGGCCAAATACAGCAGCAAAGCCAATTTTAGTCATGTAATCAGTGCTGGCTTGATATAAAAGTTATACTTTTGGTGAATCTTAGAGATTACTAGTAGGAAATTTAATTTAAAATACTGTAAAATATATTTTAGAAGAAAATACATTGAAAAAACAAGAAATTTGCAAAATTATTATTGAAAAAATGATGAAAAAAGTGTCTGAATATCCCTCCTCCTTGCCATATCAAATCTTGATTTCTGCAGAAAAGAGGGGGGGGGGGGGGGGTAATTTTGTACTCTAATGATGCTTGAAAATGAAGGATTTCTTTTAAACTGTGGTTTATTTGAACAACTAAGAGTCATACTTATCTGCAGTTATTTTTTTCAATTTCTTAGATACTTCTTAAAATAATTATCTGAGTAAATTCTATTTAAACATGATTATTTTAAAGCTATATTTCATCACAAATGCTTATAAAAAATTCAAAAGATGATGTAAATAATAAAAAAATACAATATAAGCTACTACATGCATTTATCAGTATGTTTCAATAAAATAAAATGTATTTCAGCTATGCATTCTCAAGAAGGAGGAGATTAATGAACCCACCCCCCTTACAATGAACAACACATGGGCACTCTGAGGATGATCCCTTTTCTTCCATTAAGAGTTCCAAGGTATGGTTTTCTTAGAAAATCTAGTTAATCTCTTAATAATTAATTTATTTAGAACTTTTTATAGATTATTAGAAAATAAATTTCTTCAGAACTGCAGTTATTTAAGCACTTTGCTTACAATTGAGCACTGTATTCAGTCAGACAATATGATTTATCTGCCCTTGGAATTTAATCAATTTATTAATTATGTCAATATTAATAAATGATATGCAAATAAATATGTTTGCCTTTTATGAGAATATACATATCTAACACCAATTACATGAAATGTTCATGGAAATTGGCTAAAATGTAGGTCACCCCCCTTCAAAATTACAAAATTTTCATTGGGGATGTATTTGATTCTCTGATGCCAGCAACCCGTTGCTGATAAAATTCTAAGTAATCTTATGTACATTTGAACTAGATATAATTCTCTTTCTTTCCATTGATTATTTTATCTACATTACTTTTCCCTTTTTCCATAACTCAGCATTTTCATACAAAAAACTGCTGATTTTCTTCATTTTTCATTAATAACGGGTACCTGCTACCCTGAATGATAAACATGACCTATCTTGAGAAATTTTTAGAGATAATAAGAAAAACAAGCAAAACATATGCTAGATTAATCATTTTATTTCCAAAGTTTGAAAGAAAAATAGAAAAATGCTTCAATTTGTAGACATCTTTTCTGTTTCACAGATGTGGGTCTGATTGACGGGGGTGTGAAATGTAACAGCCAATGGTATACTTAAGCTAGGACTGACAGTCCCAATATTCAAGAGGTGAGATAACCAATGGATATGTGTTCTAAATATACTAAATTGACCACTTTTTATAAATGTTTCTTTTACTCTATAGGAAAAACCCCTACATAAACAAATACATGGGCGCAGACATTTTGGACACCCAAAGTTGTGCGGAGGAGAAAATGCTAGCTGGCGCGTGATTGGTCAATAAGAGAAAAGACTTGTTATGTATCTGACTAGTGAAATAAAGTTGATAAAAATCTCATATCAAGACTTGGGATTCTTTGAGATATATAGGAGTTACAGGTAAAAATTTGAAGGGAAGGGTGCCCTTTGGTTAGAGATTTTCATTTGGTGTCAAACGCACCTTGTTGTAAACAAATGGAAATTGAAAGTAAAAGTGCCGCGTGACGGTATATTTTTTCTGGCATGTTTTGTTTTCCAATATCTCGAACTTTCACGGCAAAAAGGTCATTTGCCCAAAATTCAATATATGTATGAGTGACAGGGGCTCAAGTTTGTATGGAAGTCTATGGGAAAACATTTGGTGGTGTTTGTCCTATAGAATAGGTATTATTTCATGGATAAACATTGATTACAGCCAAAAAATCAATCAGTTCCTATTTTTTTGGCAATGAGATCATATTTTAGTTAGTTTTTACTATTTGTTTAAAAATTAGAGGGTTTGGGTAAACTGGGGCTCACAATGGGGACTGCACATGGTGAAAAAATGCCAAAATTTTTGCTCTAGCTCTCATATTTTCAATAAATGTACATGTAAAAAGTTTTAAATTTAAATTTATGCTGAAATTTACTGTGAATATTGTAGATGATACAATATTGATATTTATGGGCATCATCAATTCACAAAACATATGAATATCCCCCTCGCAGTTTGAGAAATTCATTTAAATTCATGTATTTTATGAGTGCAGACATTGGAATAGATTGACTAATCCTCTTTCAAATTTGTGTTAATCAGAGTTGATTGAATAACTTATAACAAAATTAGACTTCTGTTAAGTAATTAGGTTACTTTGATTTTAAACAAGGGGCCAAATACAGCAGCAAAGCCAATTTTAGTCATGTAATCAGTGCTGGCTTGATATAAAAGTTATACTTTTGGTGAAGCTTAGAGATTACTAGTAGGAAATTTAATTTAAAATACTGTAAAATATATTTTAGAAGAAAATACATTGAAAAAACAAGAAATTTGCAAAATTATTATTGAAAAAATGATGAAAAAAGTGTCTGAATATCCCTCCTCCTTGCCATATCAAATCTTGATTTCTGCAGAAAAGAGGGGGGGGGGGTAATTTTGTACTCTAATGATGCTTGAAAATGAAGGATTTCTTTTAAACTGTGGTTTATTTGAACAACTAAGAGTCATACTTATCTGCAGTTATTTTTTTCAATTTCTTAGATACTTCTTAAAATAATTATCTGAGTAAATTCTATTTAAACATGATTATTTTAAAGCTATATTTCATCACAAATGCTTATAAAAAATTCAAAAGATGATGTAAATAATAAAAAAATACAATATAAGCTACTACATGCATTTATCAGTATGTTTCAATAAAATAAAATGTATTTCAGCGATGCATTCTCAAGAAGGAGGAGATTAATGAACCCACCCCCCTTACAATGAACAACACATGGGCACTCTGAGGATGATCCCTTTTCTTCCATTAAGAGTTCCAAGGTATGGTTTTCTTAGAAAATCTAGTTAATCTCTTAATAATTAATTTATTTAGAACTTTTTATAGATTATTAGAAAATAAATTTCTTCAGAACTGCAGTTATTTAAGCACTTTGCTTACAATTGAGCACTGTATTCAGTCAGACAATATGATTTATCTGCCCTTGGAATTTAATCAATTTATTAATTATGTCAATATTAATAAATGATATGCAAATAAATATGTTTGCCTTTTATGAGAATATACATATCTAACACCAATTACATGAAATGTTCATGGAAATTGGCTAAAATGTAGGTCACCCCCCTTCAAAATTACAAAATTTTCATTGGGGATGTATTTGATTCTCTGATGCCAGCAACCCGTTGCTGATAAAATTCTAAGTAATCTTATGTACATTTGAACTAGATATAATTCTCTTTCTTTCCATTGATTATTTTATCTACATTACTTTTCCCTTTTTCCATAACTCAGCATTTTCATACAAAAAACTGCTGATTTTCTTCATTTTTCATTAATAACGGGTACCTGCTACCCTGAATGATAAACATGACCTATCTTGAGAAATTTTTAGAGATAATAAGAAAAACAAGCAAAACATATGCTAGATTAATCATTTTATTTCCAAAGTTTGAAAGAAAAATAGAAAAATGCTTCAATTTGTAGACATCTTTTCTGTTTCACAGATGTGGGTCTGATTGACGGGGGTGTGAAATGTAACAGCCAATGGTATACTTAAGCTAGGACTGACAGTCCCAATATTCAAGAGGTGAGATAACCAATGGATATGTGTTCTAAATATACTAAATTGACCACTTTTTATAAATGTTTCTTTTACTCTATAGGAAAAACCCCTACATAAACAAATACATGGGCGCAGACATTTTGGACACCCAAAGTTGTGCGGAGGAGAAAATGCTAGCTGGCGCGTGATTGGTCAATAAGAGAAAAGACTTGTTATGTATCTGACTAGTGAAATAAAGTTGATAAAAATCTCATATCAAGACTTGGGATTCTTTGAGATATATAGGAGTTACAGGTAAAAATTTGAAGGGAAGGGTGCCCTTTGGTTAGAGATTTTCATTTGGTGTCAAACGCACCTTGTTGTAAACAAATGGAAATTGAAAGTAAAAGTGCCGCGTGACGGTATATTTTTTCTGGCATGTTTTGTTTTCCAATATCTCGAACTTTCACGGCAAAAAGGTCATTTGCCCAAAATTCAATATATGTATGAGTGACAGGGGCTCAAGTTTGTATGGAAGTCTATGGGAAAACATTTGGTGGTGTTTGTCCTATAGAATAGGTATTATTTCATGGATAAACATTGATTACAGCCAAAAAATCAATCAGTTCCTATTTTTTTGGCAATGAGATCATATTTTAGTTAGTTTTTACTATTTGTTTAAAAATTAGAGGGTTTGGGTAAACTGGGGCTGACTAATCCTCTTTCAAATTTGTGTTAATCAGAGTTGATTGTATAACTTATAACAAAATTAGACTTCTGTTAAATAATTAGGTTACTTTGATTTTAAACAAGGGGCCTAATCCAGCAGCAAAGCCAATTTTAGTCATGTAATCAGTGCTGGCTTGA